GTGGGGTACAATTAAGGGTTGGGTATACAAATATGCTTCGTTCAGGCACCCTTGTTGATAAGGGGTGTCTCCCCGTCCCCAGACAGATATTGACTACTGTTAATCCCACCTCCCTTCCCCTCCCCCCCATAGTTTCCTACCTTTTCTTATAGTATTATGATGGATGTTCAAGGTCCGCTATATGCGTGAGAACATGTGGTACTCAGATCTTTGTTTCCGTGAGAGGTCACTCAGGATTATTGACTCTAGTTCCATCCAGGTTGCTGCGAAGTTCATGATTTTGTTCTTTTTTTATGGCTACGTAGTATTCCATCGTGTATAGGTACCACATTTTTTTAATCCAGTCCTCTTTTGATGGACAGCATGGTTGCTTCCAGGTTCTTGCTATTGTGAACAATGCTGCGATAAACATACGTGTGCAAGTATCTTTTTTATAGAGTGATTTGAGTTCTTCAGGGATATTCCCCATAGGGGGATTGCAGGGTCATATGGGAGGTTGATATTTAGAGCTTTTAGGAACCGCCACACTGTTTTTCCACAGTTTGCACTAGTTTGCACTCCCACCAACAGTGTAGGAGTGTTCCCTTTTCCCCACACTTTCTCTAGCAACTGTTATTTTTTGAGTTATTGATAATTGCCATTCTGACTGGAGTTAGGTGGTATCTCAGTGTGGTTTTCATTTGCATCTCCTTGATGATTAGTGAGAACCTCCTCACATTTTTGACCGCACAGGTCATGTGTTTGGGCTGCAGAGAGAATACACTACCTTCTTGAAACTTCAGGGGGCAGTGGAGTTCTGGTTACTGTTGGACACCCCAGGTCCTCTGGAAAGGGCACTTTGGGGTCCCTGGGAGCAAATGGGGTCATCCAGGTGGCTGCTGCTCAAAGGCACGAGCCAGGGATGCCTCCTTGACCTCAAAAGTTCTGAAAGCCCAGTCACTGGGATGGCCAGGCATCGGGGACTGGAAAGTGGACACACCGGGGCTGGTTGAGAGGTCCAGCACCCAGACCACCTTACACAACCCCAGGGAGTGTGACTTCAGAAGAGAGACTCTGTCTCAGGTCACTCAACTTCAGCAGCTAGCGGGATTAAGTAAACGTTGAAGAGTGACCAGGGATCACCCCAAGAGAGGAAGCACTTCAGTAGCTTTGGGGAAGAGGACAGGCGTCAAGACAACCCCCCTCCTGCTCCTGGTTGTCCACCTCCACCTGCTTCCTGCCTTCCTCCTGGCTCCAACCACCATTTCCCTGTCTCCCACCTGGTTCCCTTCCTTGGCCACTAGTGTAGTGACTTCCTTCTGTTGGCCATCTTGACCCTGGACCTTCTCCTGCTAATCTCTCTGGAGTGCCTCACCCAAGTACTGCTCCTACAGTCCACCCCCCCCCCCACCGAATCAAATTCCTATGGACAGTTTCCCCTAGAATATTCCACTGCCCTATGAAATTCAACTTATCATTTCTACTCCAAGGACAGCAGGATGTTTCTCATAGGGTTCATGAGGTCATTTATCTCACAACCTCAGATGGCTTATCACGCTTCATTGGAATTCAGTAAATAGTAGCTCATATTATTGCTTTATGCCCCAAGCTAAAATTCTTCTTTATCCCCACACTGGAGCCCCCCATTCTCCTTGTCTCCGCTAATCAATGATGTACCCTCCCATGCCACCTCCTGAGATGGAAATCCCAATACCCTTGATACCCTACTTATCACCCACATTAGCTGACTGCTGCTTCCATGGGTTCTAACTGAAATCCCTCTCAACTCCTCTCCTGTCCACTCTCATTGTCCCTGGCTTACTCCTTCTTAGACCAGTCCATCTCAAGTGTTAATGAGTATGAGAACTGCACAGGAATCTTCTTAAAAAGTGGCAGACCTGAGATGGGCCTGAGATTCTACATCTCTAACATGCTTCCAGGTGATGGGTGAGGTCTATAATCATGGACCACCCTGGAGCAACAAAGGCTACCATGTGTCAGGAGCCGATGGCCAGATTCTAGGGCTGCCTCTCAAAAACTTGAATGGCGACTCATAACCAATGTTTTCCAGCTTCAGTCCATATAAACTCATTATTTCCCAGATCTTCAGATGTCTTACATCTGGAGCTGCGCCCAGGAATGGACGTCTTTCCTAAATGGTCACCTCTGATTCTAATAATGTAGGTTGTGATGGCAATGGGCCTTTAGGACCAAGCCAGACTCTAACAAACACAGCATTCCAGGGCTGTCTCAATCCCACTACAGACCTTTTATCCTCCCTCATCTTGGCTTCCCTCATGTGCCAGCGGTCCAGCAGACCAAACCATGAACTGCCTGCACAATGGGTCCTGCTGGGGCATCCTCTGTGCCTCTGTTCCCCCTGCCTGTCTCTCCCTCGGCCTCCTGTTCTGGACAACTCTCTCTGCACCTCATTCCTGGGAAACTGCTCTCTCACCTTTGTCCCTTGGCACTGTGACCTCTTCTCTGGACCATGGGAGTGGGATATTGGGTCGGCTTCCTTTCCATCTGTCCTCCCACTTCAATGAGCCACTTCAGGGCAGAGACGGGACTATGTTCATCTTTGTTTCTCCAGGGTCTAGCAGGCTGCCTGACCCAAGTTGTGGCCCAGTAAAAAGTATTAAGGAGGCCTCAGATGGAATAAAAAGACATTTCTAATCGAATTGATAGCTGGTTGGCTTTTGAGGGGAGTAAAAACAAAATCTGCTTTGTCAGAAATAAGCTTTTTTGATCATCTCAGTTCTGGAGATCACATGCATTTTGTATCCTACATACTTAGCATTTGGTCGACTCACAACAGATACTGATTAAATACAAATCCTTAAAATTCTGCGTGATTACCATTTTAAGCGTTATGCTTGTACGGATTTGTGTCTGTGCTTACCAGGTCATTCGTGTGAGCCCTGTGAGAGTGACTGACCGGGGAATGTCAAGTTGTTATTGGTCTTGAAATATAAGTGGGATAGTAACAGGGCTCCAGATTGTGGGACAAGTTTTGAATTCCGCAAAGTTGATTGCCCTCTGCTGGTCACATCGAAAAAAATCACCTGCTGCTGCAGGAAGCACTTCCAGACCTCAGTGTGTAATACATGAATGAATTGATCTTTGCCTTTCTCAAGGGTGTCAGCCTCCTCTGAGATCATGGAGCATTTGGGGAGGAATGTTGTCAAATTAATGCATGAAATGAGAAAAATGCTTCAACTAGGAATTCTGCATCACTGGAGTTGTGTTAAAACAATTACTTCCCAATCAATTACTCTGTGATTTACTTGAGTATATTAAAAGCATCATGGCAGTGTGCAACAAAGATTTAAAAAAAAAAAAAAAACAGTGTATGCCAACATGTGCAAAGCTCTATGGCATGGAAGGACTAGGACAGAATGGAGGTGGAGAGAGAATTTTGTCTCCAGCAGTCCTAGGTTCAAATTCTGTCTCTTCCACAATTTCCAGCCCCGCTTTGGCCCAGTTCCTCATGCTTCAGGAGCCTCTGTTTGTCAGTTTTCCTGGGTTACTGTGCAGATAATACCACAGAAAGGGCCCAGCACACAGTAGGTGCTCACATAGCGAAAACTATTTGTGTGGTGTGTGACTCGTTTTATAAAGCTAAAAGGTGCATTTTGGAAATTAAAAAAAAAAAAACAGGAAATAAGTGAAAGTGTGATTGTCACTCTCATAGTTGTTCTGGGCTAATTGTTACAATGTGCTCGTAATGATCTCATCTTAAGAGTAGTGATTACTGCAAAACAATTAGGATTTTTCCTGCTCATTCGGATGTCTTCTTTAATTACAAGCATTAGCGTTTCACGTGCAAGCAGTCACAGGAATGAATATCTCTTGGCCTCTGTCCTGAAACGGAGTCTGTTTGCATCCCCAAGGGAGGCTTTTGTGCAAGAAAGTGCTGTCGGTGGGGACAAGGCACCCCAGCCTGACCTGGACAGGGTTCAGTGGATGGGAAAGAGAGGGAGCACATCTCGACATGTCAGCATTGTCACCAGCAAATCCCATTCAGCAGATACTACCACCCACCTTCGCCTGCCAGTGAACCTCTAGTGAGAGTTTCTGCACAACCAAGCAGTCAATGTCACGTTTACTGATGAGCCAAGATTTTTTTGGCAAGGACAGCCCTCTTTCAGGTCCCCTCCTGCAGGTTCAGAGAGCTTTCCTGTCTTCTTAATAAATTCCTGCTTCCTAAAAAAAAAAGATTTTTTGGCAAAATGAAGTCCCAGGTCGCGGTCTGAGGTGACCGCCTGCGGGTTCCATCATGAAAACGTCTTTTTCTGTCTTGAGGCACTTCACAATCTGGGCTGCCACGGGCCTCCACCCATCACCCCAATAAATACTCACCTCTGCTCCCAAGGGTCCCCACCGGCTCTGTCACGATGAGCCAACCGTGGCCTCCTCCTCACGGAGGGAATTTACCTCCAGTTCACCTGAGAGTTTAGACATGGGCACAGTCAGATGTGATACCCATGGAAGCTTCCAGAGCTAGAACAAGAGTGTAGGAACAGAGGAAGGCCACAGCTGGGCAATGAGGCTTCTGAGCCAAACTGTGAAAGGATCGCGTTTTCCCAGGCAGAGTGAAAGGGAAATGAACAAACTCTGGAAAGCTCTGTTATTTCGGCCTGTGAAAGGACTTTTTGGCCAGGTGTGAAAGGGAGGTCAGATCCTCAGGAGGCATGGAGGGCTGATCGTGACAGGTCCAGGATGCCAGGCTGGGTCACCCAGATGAGACTTCTGCTAAGTGGTGTGGACAAGGGCCGGGGTCTGGGACGTAATCCAAATCCCTGCTCCACCCTCTGCAGAGCTGGGCCTCTGAACCTTGGTTTCCTTCTTTGCATGAATACATGGAGTCATGGTAACTACAATGCCCTGGTGTTGTGAAGTCTCAAAGAAACCATCTGGGCATGTGGCAGGTAAAATTGTGGGCTCAGAGGAAGCCCTGATATGAAGCTGGCTCTTACCATCTCACCGTCACGTCTAAGCATGTCCCTGTCTCTTTGCAGGTCCACCATGGAGCCCCTCTGTCCACTCCTGCTGGTGGGTGTTAGTTTACCGCTTGCCAGGGCTCTCAAGGGCAACGAGACCACCACCACAGAGAGCAACTGGACCACCACGACATCAGGTAAGGTCCCATCCACCTCGCAATCGGCTGTCCTGCTTGCCTCTCCGTTCTTAGTGTGTTTGCAATATTTTGTGCCTATAAAAACAGGTGGGCTAAAAATGCTAGTTTAGTATCTATTTGTTTAGCAAAGCTTATGTTCTGAAGGCAACACATCTACACCCCCTACTGAAAGTCAGAGTCAGCCTTGGTGAGAAGCAGAAGAGCAAAAAGGCTAAAAATCCCCCCAGAATCCCACTGTGCCAAAAACTAGCCATGAACAAACACAGACCAGGTGATCAGGGAAATATAAACACGGACAGTTAATGTAACTGACAAATGTAAATGTAACAGTTAATGACAGTAATTAAGAAATTAAGAATTATTAAGAGATGATTAAGAATTACTGTCAGGCTGGGCGCGGGGGCTCAAGCCTGGAATCCCAGCACTTTGGGAGGCCAAGGCAAGAGGATTGCCTGAGCTCAGGGGTTCGAGACCAGCCTGGGCAACTTGGTGAGACCCTGTCTCTACAATAAAAAGGTGGCTCAGCCTGCAATCCCGCGCCTTTGGAAGGCTGAGGTGAGCAGATTGCCTGAGCCCGCGGGTTCGAGACCCGCCTGGGCAGCAAGACCTCATCTCTCCAATAAATCAAAAAATCAGCCGGGCATGGTAGCGCATGCCTGTAATTCCGGCTACTCTGAAGGCTGAAGCGGAAGGATCGCCGGAGCCCAGCAGGTCGAGGCTGCGGTGGCCGGGAGTGGCCACTGCACTCCAGTCTGGGCGACAGAGTGAGACTCCAACTCAGAAAAAAAAGAAAAAGAAATAAATAAATAAACCAGGCATGGTAGCATGTGCCTGTAGTTCTATGTTACTGGAAGGCTGAGGCAGAAGGATCGTCTGAGCCCAGCAGGTAGAGGCTACCTGTGGCTGTGAGTGTGCCACTGCACTCTAGTGTGGGTAACAGAGTTAGACTCCGCCTCAAAAAAAATTATTGTTAATATCTTAGGTAAAATATTGATTAGGTTTGTTTTGAACAACAGCAAACAAGAATCCTGCTAGGTGCAGTGGCTCACGCTTGCAATCCCAGCACATTCTGACCTCGGGAAGTCAAGGCAGAAAGCTTGCTTGAGGCCAAGAGTTTGAGACCAGCCTAGACAACATACCAAGACCCCATCTCTCCAAAAAAAAAAATTACCCATGATGTATGCCTGTAGTCCCAACTTCTTGAGAGGCTGAGGTACCTTGAGTCCAGGAGTTAGAGGCTGCAGTGGGCTATGATCACTCCACTGCACTCCAGCCTAGGTGACAGAGTGAGATCCTGCCTACTAAAAAAATAGTAATAATTTAAAATAAATTTAAGAAAAATAATACCTTCTCTGAGCAATGTTGTATTAAAGGATGTCTGCACGTAAAGCACTCCCGGGCACATAGTCATCAGCATTGACTGTATCTTACCATGGGTAAGAGGGGTGTGTCCTCATTGGACAATGACCTGGCCAGTCTTTTACTGCTCAGATAGTTGACTTTTCAGTATCCGCTTATCTCCCTCTTAGACAGTGCCCCGCACAGAGAGAGACCCAGGTCCCCAAGAGAGTTCAGGGTCCTCAAGGAGTTGACACAGATTTCCTGGGAACCTCCATGCCTTCCACAGTAGACTTCTAGACCCCTCCATGGCTGCCCATATCCTCCCGCGTCAGTGTCAGGAGGAAGCTGTGACCAGCAGGGGCTGGACCCTCACTCTGCCCTGGGGCCTAGTGCCAGGCCTGCTGCATCCTTTCTCTCTCCAGCCCCAACCCTCAGGGACAAAGCGCTGATGACAGCTCTGACTGAGTGTCTCTCTGGGTGTTAGCCAGGGTTTGCCTGAGAAGCAGAACCAATAGGAGATTATATATATAATACACACACATATACATAGCCTATACATAGATGCAAATATATAAATATGTGTTTATCATAAAGAGTAGACAAATTTATTATTTGTTATATAGATAATATAAATATATTGTTATAAGGAGTTATCGGTACATATATCTTTATTACAAGGAATTGACTCATCCGATATGGAGGCTGGCAAATCCCAAATCTGCACGGTTGATGTCCCAGTCGTGTCCAAAACTCTATAGGCTGCTGTGGGTTCAGGACGAGCTGATGTCACGCTTCGAAGGCTGTCAGGCAGGAGAAGTCTCTGTGACTCTGGGTAGATTCCCCTTTTTGTTCTGTTCAGGTCCTCAGTTGGTTAGCGGGGTCCCACCCTCATTAGGAAGGCCATCTGCTTGACTCAGTCCACCTGTTTAAATGTTAATGTCACCTAAAACACTCTCACAGACACATCCAGGATGATGTTTGAGGAAATGTCTATGTGAGCCTCCGTGGCCCAGTCAGGTTGGTGTATAAAATTAAGCTTCACACTTGGCACAGCAATACTTAGGAAAGACAAAAATGACCTCCCTCCCTCCAGAAAAACCTTGTAGAAGCAGCTTAGAAGTTGGTACCATTCAGGCTGGTCAAGGGTTCAATCCCACCAGCTCAAGGACCTCACATGATTTTCTAGCCCTGGACGAATGTCCTCCAAGCGCATCTCTGGACCCAAGAGGAGGCAGGAAGTGAAGGTTCCTCACTGACACAGCCCCCAGCCAGGAGAGCAGTTCTAAGGGCCCATCCGTCATTTTCCCTCCTCATCTTGAAATCCCGGAGAAATCCAAAACCACAAAAAAGAAAGACCAGATGCCGCCAGCAAACTGCATGTGCCATGTTGCCTCTTAGCAAGCCAGCCCTCCAGGTGCTGGTCATGGGCGGTGTCTCATCGCCTGGGGCATTTCAGACTGCCCTGATCATGCTGAGTCCCCATGCAGGCAGAGAGGAAGCTGGCAGATGTCCCCATCCACAGGAAGGCTCAATGAACTACGTCACCCACAACCCTGACCTGTCTTCCCAGGGCCAACCAACTGGCAAGCTGCCTGGATGTGCCTGTTCACATCCAAGAGCCATAAAGGCCAGAGCATCCGTTTGCCCCAAAGTGAGGAAGAACCTGCCAGAGCTCTGCAGACACTCCTGTAGGTGGCACAGTGAGCAGCGTCGAAATGCCATCCACTCCACACCTGGGGGTTTTCAGTGTACTAGAAAACAGAATTCTTTACTCATAAGATTGCTGTGGACGTGGGGTGCTACTTTCAGGAAGGGGGGCTGTCATGTGACCTCGGCAACCAGAATAGAATCAATTTGAAACTCACACCTCGGTACAACTTCCGCTGAGGCCTCAACTTGCTTAGCTACGGCCATTGGTCACACAAGCCAGAGTAGAACGGGCCCTGGTTATAAGATGCAGACAGGCTTCTGCGGCCTAGCACTCTGGAGGGGAGCCTGACCTCGTGCTCTTTAGATCTTCATCTGATGCCTGAAAGGAATATGAAGTATCCTTTGAGATGATAACACATGCCACTTAGTACCAAAGTAACAGGAAATTGTTTCATTTGCCCCTTGAGCAAAATGCGTTCAATAGTCATCAAAACACTTTCTTTCTTTTTTTTTGAGTCGGAGTCTCACTCAGTCGCCCAGACTGGAGTGCAGTGGCCGCTCCGGGCCACCGCAGCCTCGACCCACTGGGCTCCGGCGATCCTTCCGCCTCAGCCTTCCGAGTAGCTGGAATTACAGGCGCGCACTCCCACGCCTGGCTGATTTTTTGATTTATTAGAGATGAGGTCTCGCTGCCCAGGCGGGTCTCGAACCCGCGGGCTCAGGCCATCCACTCACTCATTCTTTTACACAAGAGTTTGAGGGTAAATATTTACAGATGATAGAATCAAATGTTATTACCCATATTATAATCCTCAAAATTTAACATGTCAAAGAACATAGTAGGAAACTGGGTAAAGAAAGAATATAACCAGACAAAATACAAACATCTAATTAATATGCCACTACAAATGGAAAAATGCTCAACTGTCTAGAATTAGAGAAGAGCAAATTAAAATGACATTATCACTTTCCATATTAATGGATCAAAATGAAAAGGATTGCCCGTATTCAGGAGAACTGAAATTGCACCATTGTACACGATAGGTGAGTGTAGACTTTGGAAACTGTGGCTGGTAACTTGACAATTCCATTAAAACGCCATGCACAAGCACGCTGACACACAAAGTCCACTTTTAGGAGCTATCTCACAGAAACACTTGCGAGATCCACAGACAGAGAGAGAGAGAGAGCGGAATTGTAGGTGATAGCAAAATGGTTGGAAGCAACCTACGTGTCCCTCCTATTTTGGTCTATCCAAAAAATGGGATCCAAGCAGCTGCTAAACAGAACGAGGAAGCCTGTCTGGCTGACCTGGAGACTCTCCAAGACAGACAGCAGAATAAGCCAGGCCCTCATGGAACTGTCTCAGTGGTGTATTTCATTTGCTTTTGTCATATTTAACATGGCTATATCGGGACGTCTTAAAATTGGTACCACTTCATAGTTATAATTAGTATCATTTTTTTTTCTTTCTTCATGATTCTTTAAAATAACAGTACTTACAATCCACAAAGCCTCAGAGGATATGAGAGAGTAGCATGAGTCTATTTATTTGCCAAAACCGCATATTTATGAATGTAAATGTACAGAAGAAAATGTCAGAAAAGATGCACTTTGAAACTGAGACTAGATTTAATTCTGGGAAAGAGACAGGGCTCCTGAACATTGGAAATCGTAGGCAGGAGTGTGAGTTGAGACCTTCAACCATCCATTTGCAGACCTATCCTTGAGTGACCCTCACCCTCCAGTGCGGACATGCTCCATCTCTGGGGTTCCCAGGAAAAGGAAGACTCAGGCGAAAGGAGGAGAGACAAGGAGGAGAGGAAAGCAGACAGGGAGCCCGGTGAGAGCAGAGTGCTCTGACGGAGCTGAGGCAGTCTCTGGAAGACCCTGGCTGTTATGGGAAGCTTGGAACCAGTCTCCTGGCAGAGGGCACTGGGTGGTCACTCTTTAGCCAAGGCTGCCATCTTCCTGGTCTCCTCCCAACCCTCCCTCAAGCCTAAGACTTTCAGTTTTCCAGACTGGATTCTATGTCAGCAAACACAAATACACGCTTGTGGCAGGCGTGCGATGTGTGAAATTGATGTGAACGCACGTACACCCTTAGCTTTGAGCGTCAGCTTGACGGTAATGCAGGAAGAAGGCTGCTTCCGGTTGACGGTGCTGAGTACTTCCTACTCAGGAGAGGTTCCCGTCTGCTCCTCCCTACTCTGACCCTTGACCCGCTCCGCTCCACGCAAGCCGCAACAGCATGAAATGAAAACAGAACGTAACTCTGGAATTTCTTCCGGAGTTGGTGCCCGGGGGATACTGACCAGGATGTAGGGGAGTTTTGTTTTGTTTTATTGTTTTTATTTATTTTTTTCTTTCTGGTTCATACTCACTGTTTTACAAAATTATATTTAAATTAAATTACTTACCAATATTTAGAAATCAGAAGAGTTTTACATAAAAATATAAATCTTTGTGAGAAATTTGAGGAACTAGGCCACCTTCCGCTTGGCCCCAGTGGGCTGGAGCTGAGAAGTGGCTACCCCTTGTAGATAGGGCATGGATTCTCCCAGCTCCCCAGGGCCGCACCAGAACTGCCCACCCTACTCAGAGATGTTCCTACCTTATCTTGGGAAGCCTTGGGGTTTGTGATCTCAGCCCCTGCCCTCTGGAACAGAGGCAGCTACTAACGAATGGCAGAAACCAGAGCCAGGGAGTCCACTGGTCCCTGTGACTCATCACTTCTGCCCATGTGGGTGGCCCCTTTGGGGCTTGGAACATTCAGCCCTGCCCTCTATGGAATCACCCATGTCCGTCACTGCAGCCTTCACTGCAGGCATGAACGTAGAGGCTGGACTCTAGTTTCCTCACCAGAATCCAGGGAGAGCTTCCATCCTCTCTCTCAGAACAAGAGGACCCCACAAACTGATCAGTTGGGTCACCACCTGTGCAGAACTGGGCCCAGAGCCTGACCTCTGGAGATATACAAGTGGGGAGTTTTGCTGTGCGGGGACCCAGAGGAGGGCAGGTGAACTTGGGTACATGTGGAAGGGAGGAAGGGGAAGGGAGCCAAGCTTTGTGGCTGCCTTTGGCTGGGAAGGGACTGAACCAGGTCAGGAGTTGCTGGAGCAGCCAAGCCCTCTCTAGGGCTGGGCTCTGCTCTTCCCTCAGTGTCAGGGGTCTCCCTCATCATCCAAGGCTTAAGTTGTTTGCGAGGCCCTAGCAGGGTGGGGAGGGTGCTCCCCGGAGCTACAGGCATGGAAGCTTCAGGCCAGCTTTCTTCCCAGTGATGCTCTGCAGTGGACAGGGCAGGGCAGGAGGCGAGGTCTGGAGCAGACCCTCCCAGCCGCTCAGCCTGACCTTGTGTGGAGCCAGAAGCAGCCCCACTGGGCAGGGGCCATAGACACCATAGATCTACGAGACCACTGGACCCCTGAGCACTGCTAGCCAGATGGAGGGGGCATTGATGCAGCCTAGAAGGAGGGTACGTCAGGCACAGGTGAGCTAGATTGAAAGTACCCTCGCCTCGTGGCAGATGACACCTCCTCATGTGGAACAGCTATGTCCTCCGTGACCTTCCACATCTGATGGTCACTCAAGGCCTTAGCAATCATCATTAATTAGGAATGTATGCACAGACCACTTACAGGGTACCAGAGTCAGTGGCAGAACCTTAGAGGTGGAGGGATGGCGGAGAAATGCCCCGTCGCTGTCCCAGGGAGCTCACAACCTAGGGGGTAAGGCAGAGAGCCATGGAGGCCACCTTCAGAGCACACGTGAGAGTGCAAGGTGATGGGAAGCCTTCAGGGCTGTGGAGTCCTCCCAGCGCCCAAGCATCCATGAGGGTCCGAGCTGGCCCCAGGGAGAAAGTGCATGGAGCCCGCACTGGGCTCTGGGGCTGAGATTTTGTGCCTCTGGGACCTCAAAGAGTTGATGACCCAGTTGTTGCTTTCAGGCGGCTTCCACAGAAACAAGGGAGCCCAGGCAGCAGCTCTGAGGACCTGTTCACTCATGCAGAGTAGGGTCTGTCCTTTGAGGTATCTAACGCCCCTGTGGGTCCACAGAAGAAGAGCCCCATGGGCTTCCTGGAGGAGGGAGCCTTTAAGGTGGTCCTGGAGGAGTGGGAGCATTTTGGTGAGGAGGGCAAGCTGAGGAAGAACAGGAAGAAAGTTAGATGTTGGGCTAGTGGGTGGAGTCTGAGGGTGGCAGTGAGGTCACCAGTGCCCATCGGAATTTGGACTTACAGGACAGGGACAGGTCCTGGGCAGTCGTGAGACCCCTGAGCTGAATCCAGGGACGTGGATCTCTCTCTGGTTAAGGAATGTCAGCCTGGCAGGTGTGGGGTGCTAAGTAAGAGAAAGTGTGGCACCTGGTGACTTTTGACCTCAGGCAGGTGGACCAGGGAGCTGGAAGCTCTGGAATGCCAGCTCACCACGTGCCAGGCCCTCAAGGCCTGTACCCAGCCAGGGGCGAGGCTGCTTTCCTGTGTCCTGAGCTCCTGCCCAAGCTGGCACACCCCAGCCAGGCACAGAGCTGCACCGAATCAGACTCCCACTGCTGTCCCAGGACAGCACACAATTCTGCCTCCTTAGGGAAAGAGACAGTGCCCTAGGGGCTCAGGGGAGACAGGCAGATGGGCCAGCAGGCCCCTCGAGAAGCCAGGAACTCACCCCTGTTGTACCGTCCCCAGGGGACCTTGGACAAGTCACGTCACCCACTCCTCAGTCCCAGTTTCTTTCTCTGTGTCAACAGCAGTGATTGATCACCTGTCCCCTTGTGGGGTATCCATGGACACCATCGACCGGAAGGTGGAACCACCTTGCAAACTGTAGGGTGGGGCTATGGTGTGCAGGAAGAAGGGCTGGTGGAGAGGGCTGCTTTGCACACTGTTAAGTGCGGGGCCCTTCCTTGCCTCTCACCTGGTGTCCTTCCCCCCTGCAGGCCCCCCGGACCCCGGGGCCTCCCAGCCGCTGCTCATCTGGCTGCTGCTACCGCTGCTGTTGTTCCTCCTCTTCCTCTTCCTCTTCCTCGCCGCCTACTTCTTCAGGTAGGAGTGTCCCCGGGCGCCGACTTGCCCCAACCAGCTCAGATGAGGAAATGAGCCTTCTCAGAGCTGCGGGGCGTGGGCCACACTGCAGAGGAGGGCCAGGAAGCCGGGCCTGGGGGACTTGGGACAGCGGGGCCTTAGGGCGGCTCAATCATGAGCAGCAGGAAGAGTTTTTCCCGGCTCACCTGGTGGGTATTGGTGTGCCAAGGGCTCTTGGCAGTTTGGAAACCCGGACTCCCTGAAACCTAACGAGTTTTGTGCCTCCAAGGTTCAGGAAGCAGAGGAAAGCCGTGGTCAGCACCAACGACAAGAAGATGCCCAATGGGATATTGGAGGAACAAGGTACCAAAACCCCCCTCGGGCTGGGGCCTGGGGGAAACAGGCTCTCTCTTAGCAGACAGAGGGTGATGTTCTTTAACATGTGACGTAACTTGGAACTTCTTCTGGCTATGTGACTTTCGGCTGGCTTTATTTGGTATTAGGCTGTCATTTATAAGTGTAGAATTTCACTCTTTTAAAACTGAACTTCAAGGATCCTTTTTCTTTCTGGTGTCACACAGACGTTTGAGACATTTCAGTTTGTGGCTTTTTTGGAGAGACTGTTCATATCCTGTCGTTTTCACTGGGTGTTCATATATAACTTCGCTTTTCAACAAGGCCTTACCGTCATTCTAAGATAAGACTGTCTGGCTCACAGGCTAAAGTATTCAAGGGGAATTGTACTGTTTTAGGATGAAACTGAAAGAAGTGATTTGTTCTACTAAACTACTAAGAGTTTCGTGTTTACAGAGGCTCAGAGTCAGTTGGGGGTCGTCTCCAACTTTTAAGTTTGAGGTGCAGTTTCTCACTTGTCAAGGCAACTTACAGAGGCACATTGTTTTTCTTTCCACGCATCAAGGGGACCAAGAAAGGTGTAGAAGGGAGAGGCTTTAAAAATATTGGTTTGTACCAGTGACTACAACTTCCCGTCGTCAGATCCCTACCTGGTTGTACCAGGGTGGGTGGGGGAAGACACATGCGGTCAGACTTACATAGAATTTTAAAACCAATCCTGAAATAATAAAAATGATATCAGCCACGAAGGACCCAGCTGAAATGCAGCTTTGAAGCGCATTTCAGGAGTGGAATGACCGGGGGCGGGGGAAGCCCTGTGGGCTCATCTGCTCTCTTCTTTCATTTGGAGGCGTGAGCCTTGGGTGAAGCTTTTGGCTGGGCTTCAGAATGGCTTTGCACGTGTGACAGTCGAGTTACCACGTTGACTTTGTCAGTATCGGCTCGTTCTCTGAGAATAGAGCCCCATGCCCGTAACTGCTCGTCTTACCTCTCACTCAGAACTTGTGGGAGCAGCTTGTCCAGGAAATCCCTGGAAAACCAGCCTTTCTCCTTCTTCCTACCCCGGACCCCTCCCCAAACAAGGATGGTCTTTCCTATTTCCCTTGGCGCTCTTGGGGTTCGAGGAACCAGGCCTATTTGTTACAAAGAAAAGGAGGCCGAGAGAGAATCACATCCTAACGGATTTCCAGTCTGTTTGGAGCTTGCACCCAGAAGCTATAATTCCTCTTCTCTAGTTCCAAACCTGGCACCCTGAGTTGGACCACGAAGCTGCCTCAGATCCTTTGTGGAAGGAGCAGGGGCTGGAGGGAAAGAACGACGGGAGGGAGGGTGGGTGGACAAGTGGTCTGGGGGAGAAGGGGACAGGGTATCTCCGATGAGGGAAGCAGGTGACACTGGACAGAGCGATGCCCATCACTTACAAATACTGTGGGTGCCTCATAGGAGGCAGGTGTGTGGATTCAATTGCCCGGGGCCTGGCTGATGCTTGACTGTGTGACTTGAGAGGACTGTCACTCCCTCCAGCCCTGTCATTTCTTCGGGAGTGTGGTCCCTCCGTTGGGTTGATGGGGCGCCCCTCCAGGCATGTGGCTCAATGGGCCTCGTGTTTTTGATCCCACAGAGCAGCAGCGAGTAATGCTGCTCAGCAGGTCGCCCTCGGGACCCAAGAAGTTCTTTCCCATCCCCGTGGGGCACCTGGAGGAGGAGTTCCGTGTCCGGTCGGCTGATGACTGCAAGCAGTTTCGAGAGGAGTTCAATGTGAGTGTGGGAAGCTCCCCTCTGTGAGGGTGTCCCGGGGTGCACCCCTGCGAGAGAGTATCACCCTCCAGGAGGAAGCATCCCAAAGACCTAGCACCCTCATATCAATGATAACACTGTCCCCAAAATGGTGCGATGCCCCCTCGCCAACGCTTGTTCTCGAGCTTTGTGAAGGCTCCTTCCAGCTCCGGCACTAGAGCATCTAATTGAAAAATGTCCCTCTTCTGAACTGCCATCACAGCATCCATCAAGCAGTCATGGGGGTGGCCTTGAGGGACACTAGCTCTATGTGCTATGTGTATCTCTGTAGGTGAGGTGGATGGGATGGCTAGGTGGATGACGGGTGGATGGATGATGGATGGACGAGCAGAGACACAGAAAGACAAGCGGAAGTGTTTTCTTGGATTTTGCTGGGCCTCGTTGGCCTCTGATCATGTTTGAGTTTGGATTTATGCATCTTCCCCTTTTTGTACCCGGCTGTGTGCTAGATGAGGACAGGCCTTCAGCGGGAGTGCTGGCTGGTCCTGACTGCCTGTGGCACACATGGGTTAATCTCCTTGAAGCTGGCTTCCACCCTTGCGGAAGGGGGGATGGAGATGGGCCTGTCTTACTTACCTCGCAGCTGGAATGCGAGGCTCAGACCGTGGATTTTGCAACCAGCAAACCGTTGTGCAATTGTTCTGTCTGAAGATGGCACGATCTCTGCTGCAGACATGTGACTTCTCACACAGAAGCAACCTGGGAAGGCAGGGGACGGTGATGGCACATTGACACTGGACGTTGTTTATTTTTTTAGCACAAGCTTCATCTGCCTTTTTCGTGCTTCCCTTTTATTGTTTCCAAAGATGTCCCCCTTTTGGGTGAAATTAGGTCATCTTGAAAGACAGCTCCAAGCACTATTGTTTTGCAGTCTCTCAGCCTGACAAGAGAAGTTAATTCTCTACTTTCAAAATAACCATCCAAGTCTGCAACTAGACGATCCCCTTTCCTCCTTATCTCATTTCCCCTTGAATTTTTGTTTCTCCATGGGGTGGGCGCTGCTGGCTATGCTTTGCCGATGAAGGGCTCTGAGTCAGAACCAGCTGGGTCTGCCACCAGCTCCAAAGTAGGGGCAAATCCCAAAGAGGGGAAGCCGGAAAAGGGCGAGGCGGGAGAGGTACGTGCCCCAGACACGAGATCTAAGAAAACACCAAAAGCTCAGTAATCAGGATAAGTCATATTTTAACGTAATGCTTACGAATATAAAAATTAATGTCAGCAGTTCATGGTGAACAAAATCGCACAACTGTAAATGAAGACAGGATCGGGCCAACTGATTTTTTTTTTTCCTGTTGCCCCAGGCTCCAGTATGTCTTGTCACCACATGATTCTGATCTTGTCATCATCCAAAAATTTGACATTTTAGTCCCCGTGGATTTTGTGCCTTCATTTGGATTTTTAAAAAATATTGCATTCGGATATTCTTCCTCCTGGTTCTTGAGTTTTGGGGGCACTCCTTTAAATTTTGCACCTGGAACACACTTCTCACCCCACTTCAGCCTCTCAAATGAAGACCCGAGCCCTTCTGCTCTGTGGCCGGCAGGGTAGAGACACAGTATAAGGGTAGAACACTGGTCTTGCCTCTAGGGGATCCCGGGTGAGCTGTTTCTTTGCTTCTCATCCCAGTGAGGGACTGGCCATCTGCTTGCAGCACCCCTGCTCTGGGAACATTGGAACTAGTCACGGCCTACCCACACTTGGGCTCGGATGGACATGTGTGAGACAGGCTCCCAAACCTCTGGGTTCTCTTTTCTTCCCTTCTGATCTGAGCCCTCTCTCAGAAGTTGGGAAAGATTAGACACAGGAGTCTTGAGGTGGTCAGTCCAAGTGAGTGTGGGCACGTCTGTATTGCTGATCCAAAGTTCAGGTAAACTCAGTGAGGACCTAAAGCGTTTGGCACCGGGGTCAGTACTGGTGAATGCTTGGAGAGGTTGGGCAATTTAGTTCATCTCTGCCTCAGTTTTCTTATCTGTGATAAGCCTTGTCTCCGTAGGATTGTGACAACATGTAAACAAGGTGAGATAACACGTAAAAAATGTCCTTGTGAGGACGTGCTTTGCAATCTCCACCCTGCAACAGTAGAAGGCTATCCTGGCAAAGTCTGCTCCCAGGTCCCAGATCAAGCCCTGGAAAGGAAACACCATTGGGCCAAGGAAATCTCCAGACAGAATCTTCCTGTCTTCATCCCAGCAGGTTATTTCAAGCCAGGTGCCTGGGGCTGACCTATCAATAAATGCTGTAGAAATGCACAGGGAAGCGTCACCAGCAAAGATTCCCAGCACAATTAACAAACAGGTCGGCACGGTGGCTCAGTCTGTAATCCCAGCACGTTGGGAGGCTGAAGTGAGCGGATTGCCTGAGTCCACGGGTTCAAGACCCGCCCAGGCGACTTGGTGAGACCTCGTCTCTACAATAAATCAAAAATTAGCTGGGCGTGGTAGTGCGCACCTGTAGTTCCGGCCACTTGGAAGGCTGAGGCAGAAGGATCGCCAGAGCCCAGCAGGTCGAGGCTGTAGTGGCTGGGGGTGTGCCACTGCACTCCAGTCTAGGCAACAGAGACTCCAACTCAAAAAAAAAAAAAAAAAAGAGTAAGACTCCAACTCAAAAATAAACAAACAAACATCCTCCCCTGGAGCTGGCTGGAACAGTTAGGGCCCCTCACAGAACTGTCCACACCTGGCTCCTTTTCCATCTTGCTGCTGCCTGTCCAGACCGCACCCCAGGGCTCTCTTATTTTCCCTGGGTCACCGGAGCATCTCAGAGATGCGAGACCCAGTGTAGTGCTGCCGAGTCCACGCGGGCGGTTCTTCTGTGTGCTTGGATCTGGGATATGTGCACAGACCACGATGCTTCCCCCACCCCATCTGACCCCTTGTGCAGCCAGGGAGAACCTCCCTGTCTTCACGCCCTGCATCGGGGGCCGTTGCTGAGACAGTCCAGCCAGAGGTGTCAGAGCTGGTCCATCCTTGACACTCAGACTCCCCCCCAGAAGCCTTCTCAAATTCCTTTATCTTTTAATTGACTTTATTTTAGAGCCATTTTAAGTATGCAGAAAAATTGCCCAGAGAGTACCGTTCCCATATCCCCACCTTTTCCCTGTAAGTGATTTCCTCTACTATTAACACTTTGCACTGTGTGCTATACTCACTATAATAGATAAGCCAACACTGATGCTTCGTTGCTCACTGAAGCCCAGACTTGGAATCTGTATGATGTTCGCTCTGTGGGTTTTGACAAGTGCACAGCATCGTGTGTCTACCGTCACGGCATCATTTCATGGCTCCTTTGTGTTTCCAGTGCTGGGGTCAAAGAAGCATCTGAGGGTAGAAAAGGAGAAGGCTCTAGCGTGTTTCCGCAAATGCAATGCTTAGATTAGGTCAAGAAGGTCAGTATTAAGAATTGGGAACTCTGGGAGGAACATCTACTTGTGGCTGAAACCAAGCAAACTAAGCCGGGAACCACCTATGGGTCTTGGAGAAGCGCCACCAGGCTGATCCCTTCACATCGGCCCTGGGAGCCTCGGCTTATGGCCGTGGGGTTTGATGGTCCCAAAGCAAAGGGAAGACAGTGGCCTAGGTTGCTCTGCCATGAGCACCAACTGGTAGAGGCTGAGTCTGCAATTGGAGAAGCTTCCTGCCCTGGGAAAGGGAGGTTCAGAGAAATCAGGCCTTGAGCAAGTCCAGGGCTGTGTGGCTGGGATCTAGGGCATGCCGTGAGGCCCGCCCCACTTTCCTGGGGTCTTACAGGGGACACGGGACACCCTCACTTTTTCCCATGCTTGAAGAAGTGAGCACCCTGCTCGTGGCCCGAGTGCCAGCTGCAGGCTCTTGCCAGGTGACCCTTGACAAAATCGACAGCACCTTGCCTCGACCTTCAGTTTCCTCACCCATAAAACAGGGGCCATCCTAGTGTCACCTAATAATAGGTGAGTTGTGAAGCCTGGCACATTGCAAGCACTCAATAAATATTAATGCTTGTTATTCAAATCTGAGTGGCTCTGGCTTCCTGCAAATGGTCAGGTCTAATGTCAAAGGACATGCCTCGGGGGTTCAAAAGACTCTTCACACTACGTGGCAAGGAGTAAGCAAATGTAGAACAGCTGGAGCCCACCAAGAGTCAGGCAGCTCCAAGCGATAGAAAGAACCAGAAGTCAGGATGTCAGGGTTTAGACACAACTGCTGCTTGTCAGGGATAGGGCCCCGGTGACATATTTTTTTCACACCTCAACTTCCTCATGGGAGGTCAAGGGTGGATCAGGGTGATACTTCTCAAATGCTGTGTGCACTGAATCCCCAGGGATCTTGATACTCTTTTCGTGGTAC